GGGGATTGGGCTGGCCACTCCATAACGTCAATCTTGTTGGTCTGGAACCAAGATGTTGCACGTTTACTGGTGTTTTTGGGGTCGTTGTCTTGTTGGAACACCCATTTCAAGGGCATTTCCTCTTCAGCATAAGGCAGAATGACCTCTTCAAGTATTCTAATGTATTCAAACTGATCCATGATCCCTGGTATGCGATAAATAGGCACAACACCGTAGTATGAGAAACATCCCCATATCATGATGCTTGCGCAACCATTCTTCACTGTAAGAACAATCTTACTTTCATCAGTCCACAAAATGTTGCGCCATTTCTCTTTAGGCCAGTCAATGTGCTTTTTGGCAAATTGTAACCTCTTCAGCACATGTGTTTTTTTTTCAACAGTGAGACTTTGCAGGGGCTTCTTGCAGATAGCTTGGTTTCACATAGGCGTCTTCTAATTGTAACAGTACTCACAGGTAACTTTAGACCTTCTTTGATCTTCCTGGAGCTGATTGTTGGCTGAGTCCTTGCCATTTTGGCTATTCTTCTATCCATTTGAATGGTAGTTTTTCGCTTTCTTCCACGTCTTTCAGGTTTTGGTTGCCATTTTAAAGCATTTGCGATCATTTTAGCTGAGCAGCCTATCATTTTCTGCACTTCGTTATATGTTTTCCCCTCTCCAATCAACTTTTTAATCAAGGTACGCTGTTCTTCTGAACAATGTCTGGAACAACCCATTTTCCTCAGAATTTCAGAGAGAAATGCACTGTAACCAGCATGTACAACATTTGCTGCCTTCCTTCCTTAAATAAGGGCAATAATTGCCACCTGTTTTTCAAAGAATGAATGACCTCACTATGTCAGGGACCCCGGGCTGTACAGCGGTGCGTGAGTCTGCGCATGCGTGGTATGCCGGGGCACACTAGCGTGCGGGCACTAGGACCTGGGCGCCTGCGACGGCAACGGCGGTCGCGCACTCGCGATCGCGGACGCGTGCCTGGCACCAATGAGAGTGCAAGGCACCCTATTGAAACAGACACTAAATATTCTCAAGTTGCCGTATGGTTTTTTCCTGTATCCTGTGTCCTGAGAGATTGCCTTGTTGCCGACCCTGCCTGACCCTGATATGTTGACTGTCTCCTGCTCTGATTCCTGGCTTGCCTGACCATTCTCCTGTCTAATCCTGTACGTTTGATCTCCTGTTACGAACCGGGACCGTGACCCGTTTATTCTTCTGCCTGCCGCTAGTACCGTCCTGCTTCCACCGTTACCAACCTGGCCTGTCTGACTTCGCTCACTCCGCCTCCTCACATCTGGCTCTCACCTGCTATGTACCACCGACAAGTGCTTCTACTACAGCTGGTTGCACCCAGGGGCCGTGACCTGGTTTCGGCTTGCTCCAGGTCCATCCCCATCAACAGGGGCTCTGGTGAACAAGCAGGTCGGGCCTTAGATTCCGCACCCTGGGGAATCCCAGTCTGTGTAGCGCTAGAGGCTACCGCCGGTCGGTCCATAACACACTAATAGAACTCCACACTGCTCTTATTTTGAACATGCCCCTTTCAATTAGTGATTCAATTACACAGAATCAGCACCATGCATGTCATGACTGTTGGGTCTGTTGGATTTCTATTACTCTACTATACCTGCTAGTAAATTATTTGCCATGTAGAAATATAATTTTTACCAAAAACAGTGATTGATCAGGTTAGTGATGTCTGACTGCTATTATTTTGAACACAACTGTATAGCCTGCCAAAGATACATAAGTCTTTATCTCACCCCCCAGCAGGCCCATCATTAGCGGGATAGATTCCATCACATCCTGAGCTGGAAGATGTATAGATTACTATCTGCAACCATTAGTGCTTGATACCCCTGCCTACTTGAAGGACACTAGATATATAATCAACATTCTGGGTGAAATATAATGGAAATCTAGCCATATCTTAGCCACAGCCAATGTGACATCACTTTATACTGTTATCTCCCATCTACATGGGTTTGAAGCGGTACATCATCTGTACCAGCATTCTCCCATTCCATTAGAACAAAAAGAATTTACCCTACGTCTATTAAAATTTTCCATGAGCCACTACTATTTTTGGTTTGGTGGCTCCTCTTACCTACAATATAAGGGTGTAGCTATGGGGGCTAAATTTGCCCCCAGCATGGCCAACTTGTTTATGGCCATGTAGGAGAAAGATACAGTATTTAAAGATAGGAGATCGGAACTTATACTGTGGAAACATTACATCGATGATGTAATTTTGATCTGGGAGGGTGATTTACACTCCTTAAATTCTTATATAGATATTCTTAATGTAAATGATAGGGGTATATCCTTGTCTTATGTGTACCAACCAGTTGACATTCTTTGATATTCAATTAGTAAACTGAAAAACGTTTAACACCTCCACGTTTTTCAAACCTACTGACAGGAATAGCCTCATACCAAAGGGGCGTTGTCACCATCCCTCATGGTTGGCCTCAGTACCAAAGAGTCAATATTTGCATCTGAGGTGTAATTATACACCAGTACTAAGGACTTTTTGGAACAAGACGAATTTCTTAAATCTAGAGTTATAGAAAGGGGCTATGATGAGGATAATCTGGATAGGATCATATCAGAGGTGACTGTGATAGACAGGAACTCTCTACTAACAGAAAGACCTAAGGATCCTGTAGAATCCAGCTCTTTTGGTCTTTCACTTATTACTTCTTTTTCTGAATAACATTACAGGGTTAAACAAATTATCAAAAAACATTGGCGGTGTTTAAAAATGACCGATTGCTGGGTCCAATTTTGCCAGAAAAATCTTCAGTTATCTTCAGATGGGTTCCATCACTCAGATATAGGGTGGCTCCTAATATCTATGATCCCCCTATATGTCCTACTTTTGTTCATGGTTATAAAGGCTTTTTTCCTTGTAGGAAGTGTAATATGTGTAAGGTCAACAGACTCAGTGATAGAAAGATTTCTAACTTTCATTCAACTCACACTTTGAGGACTTGTGATATTCACTCCTTTATTACTTGCCATACTAAAAATGTAGTTTATTTGCTTATCTGTCCTTGTGGTAAGCAATATATTAGAAGCACCACTAGGGAATTGCACATTCGCCTTAATGAGCACATTGCGAACATTAGGAAGGGTTTTAAATGGCACAGTGTTTCATGCCACTATGCACTATAATAGGAATCCTGAAGGAACTGCTTTCTTTGCTATTGATAAATATATTCCTTATTGGAGAAGAGGCAATGCTAAGAGAGAGATGCCATCTTGAGGTCAAGTGGATTCATGACTTTAAGATTTATGTTCCATACGGTTTGAATGTTGACTGGGATATTATTTGTTTTACTAATAATAACTAACAATGTTATTTTAAGTCTTTGTTTTTGTATGGATTGTTAACTGAGATGGCCGGCTGGGTTTCAATCTATGTATTTTTTATCACAACTTTGTATCTTTAATGATATGATCAACCCATTTCTTAAATAAAATTTTCCAAGGGGTATAATTATGTAGTTCACCTCTGGGGGCATATCATTGCCTTTAACCGCTCATTTTCACATGATTTTGATGATTTGGTTGTATATTTCTATTTATTTAATCTCACTATGATGTCCTGGCTATTAGTCTGGGTATATATAATAATTTTAGGTTTTTTTTTTTTTGTTTTTTTTTTTTTAGATCTTTGTGAGACATTTTTTGTTTATTGTTTGGTTACATCAAATATGTTCCAAGGTGTTTATGGCTCTGCTGTGGCATCTTTAATCATGGAGCTTGACCAATCATCTCTGTTTTGACATTCTTATCAGTCTCGGAGCTTGACCAATCATAGCTGGCTTTCTCTGTGATCCTCCTATAAGAGCGTGGTGACGGATGTGCGCCCTGGACCCTTGATAACTTCTGACGAAATGCGTCGGGTGGCGCTAGGGTGGACGTCACCATGCATGCGCAGATGCTCGTGGCCATCTTGGAAGTGGACACACTTGGTTTTTTTGTAATTTGTACAGTGCTGTTTTGTATCTTACATGTAAGTGTAATATTTTGATTTTAAAAAACGTTGTAAAGGATTTTACACTATGGGAAGCTTTTTTTATTCCATCTATATTCCCACTACACTCTTGATGTCGACGATCCATGTGGAGTCTGGAAATGTCTTCTTATACAAATCTGGAGGCTGTGGAGGAGGTTGGAGCAATTGCCTTTTGATCACCTTTATGCCTTATCTGACCACTCTATAACATAATGGTCAAATGTTTCCAGTAAGCCTCCCTTTAGCACTGTGCGTATTGCACTTGATTATGTTTGCTCATTTTCACATTTTGATCATTTATAATTGCACCCAAGGATATTTCACATCGAGTGGGGTGGAAAAAGCTGCACTTGGATATACAAGAACATTTTCTGTGATTGACGATAGTTATCACATTCAATGACTTTTGCACCATGTTTTTTTTTTGCACCTAAATTTGATCATTTGTGTCATAGAGTTTTTTGTTGATTTTATATAATTATCCTTAATTATAATCCTTCACCATCATGAACGAAAAACTACAGGTGAAAGAGACCTGCAAGTTTGAGTCTATATAGATAGTGTCTGATATAGCTCCTCTTCTGTCTCATCAAATGCAGGAAACAACTGACAGTGAGGAACTCAGCAACATATAGGCCTTGCTGGCTACTCCAGATTGTGGAAATCTTTAAAGCAAAAGCTGAAACAAAGAGAGGCTACACACCAGCCTAGTGCATTATCATAACACTCATTATTGTAAAATAATATAAAATCCAATGTACTCACAAAGGTGAACAACTTTAAGCATGGAATCAATGCACTCCTGATGCTGCTGATTGAGTGGTGCCCATCTACAATGGTGTCGCTTGTAAATAAGTGATTTTTCTCCTTCACTGATGTGCGCTAATGAGGCTGCAGTGATGGGCACTGATAGGCGGCACTGATGAGGAGGCACTGGTGGGCATTGACAGGAATCACTGATGGGCACTGAAAGGCAGCACTCATATATGGCACTGTTAGGTGGCACTGTTAGGTGGCACTGACTGGCAGCACTGATAGGCGGCATTGATAGCTGGCACCGACTGGCACTGATGGGTGACACTGAAAGGCAGCTCAGATGGGCACTGATATGTGGCATTGATGTGCACTGGTAGGCAATGATATGTGGCATTGATGTGCACTGGTAGGCACTGAAATATGGCATTGATGTGGCACTGATGGGCACTGGCAGGTGGCACTGCTGGGGCTACGCTGATGATCAGTGTGCCCTGATGATCACTGTACATGTCCCCTCTGAGCGAAGCCGATTACCAGCTCTCCTCTCGAGCTGTCAGCGTGACAGCTCGTGAGGAGAGAAATGCCGATAACCGACATTTCCCTATTTACATGCGATCAGCTGTGATTGGACACAGCTGATCACATGACCAAGCCGACATCTTCAGCTCTTTCCGTTGATTTGTGATTCGCTGTGTCCGGGGGACACAGAGCACCGCCGATCGCCACGCTGCAGCTCCCGGAGCCGCACATGTGCAGTTAGAATGGGAGGACATCATATGACGTCCTCCCAGAGAGAACCGCCTTGCGTCCTTCATTGGACTATATGGCGGGTGGGAGGCGGTTAAAGAGGAACTAAACAGTCAATGAATCTGCCACCTAAGCTTCTGTTTGATCTTCAGTTGCCATAGTGGTGCACATGTGATCAGTTATGACACCAGCCATATGATGGTTTGACAGTTTGCTTGAGAGTACAAGCATATGTGACAATTATCATTCAAGGAATGTCTTAAATGTAACGGTTTTTGAAACTGTTAAATTGATGGGTTTAGTTTGGCTTTAAAGAGGAATTAAACCCAAAAGTTAACATTTAATATATTGCAGATTACCAATTCTTTGATGTGATGGCTGCATTAGTTTTCTTTTTTAGGCATTTTTTTCTTCTATTTTCATCTGGTGATTCTGCCAGTAAGTCTGTTGTTTTTTATAAGCACAAGCTTTCCAGCAGAATGTATCAGTTAGAGATGAGACAAACCATTTAACACCACCAGGGGTGCTTACAATAATCAGTTTTTATTTATGTAAAACCTTTACCCAAAAGGAGGAAAAAATCTGTAATTGATTATAAAGCTGGAGTCTGGCTTTAATTTGTTAGTGATCCAAATCTGCTAACACATCTATCACTCCCCTGTCCCCAGACTATTAAACGCTGGTGTCCAAAGGTGTCCCCTGTGCTCCTTTATCCAGAGTCGGGGCAGATGTTACTGGCCAAATCACCAGGTGAAAACAAAGGGAAAAAATTAAAAATAAGTGCAGCTACCACATCTAATGAATAATAAGTTGCAATATATTACATTTAACTTATTCTGTAATGTTGATGAAGTTCTTTCTTATCCAGGCTGAGGAAGTTGTTTGGATAAGCAGCAAAATATCTTCAATGGTACAGAATGAGTCCAAGTTAATGTGGCTAACGACTACTAGACTACATTCCGTGACCTAGAGAAAGTAAAGTGAATCTTCACATACAACTACCTAACATCCCACAAGGCCAGCATGCAGAAATAACAAATCAGTGTGATTTCCATCAAATATAATTTTATTAACCAACAAATTGTATGTATACATTATAGCTTTCAGGTAATATCCACCTCTTTACATGATCTTTGGATAATGCAATGTGCTTTCATACAAAAATAGACACTGTGATCATCTGCGCAAAGTGCTACTATTTTCCAATTAAGGTCACTTTTATAGAATTACGTATTTCTTGATAGTTCATCAGTTTATCTTTTGCTTTTAAGTGGTACATTCCGGTAAATTATAAGAGAGGTATCAACATTCTTTCGTTAAAAAGAAAAAAGTACATTCATTGCATTTTAGACATATTGCAAGAAAGATATTTGCATCTTAGGAAATGTATGGAGACTTGAGTGGACGATGCACATTGGAGTGGCATGGAGCTGTAGATGGACAATTGAGGAGATTTGAGAAGGTGGTTTCAAAATTAAAGAATGATTTCTTTGAAAAAGAAGGTAAATGTCTGTTTTTGTCATAGTTCATATTGGGCTTTGGAGTAAAAGTCCAGACTTGATGTAAGACCTCTGCCAGCATTATGCAATCTTTCCATTTGGATGCAACCATTCCTTTTGGTCTGAAATGTTGGCCCAAAGTTTGGGCAAGGATGAAGCACGGCCAATGGGTTACCAGGATTTTATTTCTTGTACCTGAAAACAAAAGTAAGAACAAGTTAGAATTCAAATAATATCAAACACGTTCAATACTTTATACTGCTTACTAGAGATTGGCCATGTTTTAAATATGTGCACTCAGAAGATCTTGAAATATTGGCCATTAGTTATTATATTGAAGACAATTTTTTTTTAAGCTATTTGTTGTCCAAAGTCCTTCAAAGATACTTACTTTGTTTAGCTAACTGGGTGGGCCTCCAATCATAAGACCTTTTGGATCTCTGGTCAGGAGCACGATGCGCCAATGTTAAATGCCTAGGATTTTAGGCCAGAAGGAAAAGGTCTTCGTGTCCTTGTACCAACCAAGTCCAATCAGTTCAATAATTGCTGGGCTTATCAGATATTCCTGAGAATTACTGAATGCAGGATTCCTGTAGGGGTCTTATATTCCAAGCTGCCCCACTTTATATAGCAGAACAACTAAATAGGCCGGTAGTTGACATAGCCAAGAACATTGGGTCCTGGTCATAAAGTCTCTTTTGTAGGTAGTTTACTGCTGGGTGAAACATCCTAGATACCTCAAAGGAACTGGTGGCTTCCAGGTAAAGGAGATGGTTGTGAAAAGTTGAAATTGTCCATCTTGTATTAATGCTTAATTAGATTTCCTGAGTCCATGTCCTGTTAAAAACTTTGCATAAAGTCCTAGTCTCGTGACTATTATCCATTTGCTTTTTTTTTTTTTAAATCTGACAAGCTGATATAAAAGTGCTACCGAGTGTTCATATAGAGAGCCCACAACCCCAAAAAAACATTCAATTCATATTTAAGGCTACAAATAAATTAGAATAATTTCTAGTACATACTACATTATTCAAAAAGTTAACTCATAGGTCTGTCACAACATATCAAATGTTAGAAACGTGTTATTGCCTGATTATTGGTTTGAAATTATTCTAAAGAATTTTTCTTCTAATATATACATGGTATTGCACTACACATAATAGATTTCATGGATGATATTTCTGTAGACTAAGCAGATTGAAAAATATCAAAAATATTTAATTTTTTGCTTTTTATACATTCAGCAATTAAAAAAATATGCTTTTAAAACCAGACAAATGGTTAAATTTCTCACAAATTCCATTATTCCCAGAAATTTAGAGGGAAAAGGCAAAACATGTGAAAATAACCCCCACTTATAGTAAATGGTTTCGTCTGGCAATCATGCAAATGAACTGTTACTGTGACAATCTCTTCAAACCATGACAAAGATTTGTGACATTTTCCAAATTTTGTCCAAATACTTTCTTACTTTAGGGCAATATGTCCTAGTTGCGTAATAAGATCCAAGCATTGCATATCTGTTTGGAGTTGATTATAGCACAATGTATAAAGAAATTAGAATTTACATCTCAAGTTCTTTTTCAGCATTAAAAGTATAGTTTTATGTGACATACATCTTGCCCTCCATAAAATTTGAGATACACTTGAAATTGTCACAGCTAACTTGCCTTCCAGTACCAGACACAAGCCATCGCCTTCCTACCTGTGGCATTGTATCGGAAAACCACTTTGCAAAGTCAAGAAAGATTACCTTAAAATTCACTAGATAACTTCACTCTTTCATTTCAAGAGTTGATGTTTTCTCACCAGAGAGCAACAAATTTATCCAAAAGTTGTCATTAAACTTTCCTACTCGTAGCTAGATTTTTCAGTGCAAACACCATTGCTATCATAAGGATCCTTTATGACAAGGACATTAAGTTTTGTGCTAATCTGCTCATCTGAATAAGCAGCCTTGAGGGTTTGCTTCTCTGACTGCTCAAAGTCAAATTGGATTTTCTTGCCCATCTGCATTAGCTGGTCCATGGTCTTAGGGAAAGGGGGTTTGAGAAAACGCCTGATCTCTGGGTGAAGGGTGCTAATGATGTATTGGATCATGTCTTCCTCATTGGCATTGACATAGAGCCGGTTGTACAGGGCTCTTTTCTTCCACACAAACTGCTCTAAGGGCTCCCAGCGCCGCTGGGGAAGGTCTAGGTCCCTCTTGATGGCCTCTCTTACCACTAAGCATTCACAATATTGCAAGAAAGCGACTTTGAAGTCATGCCAGTTTTCTATTGTCTCCTGTCTGTATTCCCACCAGTTCTTGGCAGCACCTTTTAAGTGGTTGTCTACCTGAGACAGCCAAATGCTTTCATTCCACCCACTGCGCTTAAAATGCTTTTCTAAGTTCACTAGGAAATCCCGAGGATCCTCAGACATGTTTGCATCAAATTCAGGGGTAGACAGGATGTCAACGGAAAGGACAACCCAGTGGTGCTGCAGGCATGCTTGGGATGGCAATACAGCAGCTGGAGGAGGGGGAGAACATGGTGGGGTAGGAGCATAAGGATTAGGGTTATCAAGAAGTTCCTGAGCTGCATGAGCTGCCTCTGCCTCCTTATCTTTCTCGCTTTTCTCTCTGTAAAAAGGTCTTCTACGCTTCTCCTCCTTGCCTACCATTTTCTCAAATCGAGAAAACACTCCCCTCCAAGAGTTCATCTCTCTCTTCACCCACCTCTCTAAGTTGGCCAAGGTATCCTGGCATCTTGAAAGACAAGCCTTTATTGACCGCTTGCCTACATGCATGTTGAAATTTAGCCACTGCACAGACCTCTTAAATCCTTTCAGGTCATTTTCGACTTGCCTGGAGACTCCAGACAGAATGTACACCTGCGTCTTCCTAACTCTGTCAAACATTTCAGCTGGGCTACAAGTGCCAATCTGCAGAGCAACCGTTCTTTCTGGAACAGGGAGGACAGGTACCCCAACACCGCTGAGAGCCAGGCTTACTGCCATTTTAATGAGCTGTTAAAACTGAACTACAAATTTAGCTAGTTAATGCGTTGGTTTATTTTAAAGTTTGCAAACTTTTTTTTACAAGCAACAAAGTTTAAAAATCAAATTGTTTGCTCTTGTCAGACAGCCGGGCTCTTGCAAACCACCTTGGTCTGTTAAGCAAAGAGCATTTTCAGAAATCAGCACAAAGTTCCTAACAATTCCTTCCAACTAGTTATATTCAGCAAGCATAAAATTAGCAGAATTACAAAGCACGGTTGTCAGATTTTAGCAAGAAAAAAAGGGGTTGAAAGGCTGCAGTTGGATATCTTTTCAGTCTTTTCCAGTCTTTTCAGAACCGATGCAAATTTCTGTACTCAGAAGCAACAGGAGTATGTCCCAAAATCTTAGGAGTGATGGTGTAAAGATGAAGAATCTTTTGGTCCAAAGTTTTGTCTCGAAGTCGGGAAGTAGGAGATGGAATTCAAAGAAGATATCAGCTAGCAGTTAAAAGCTGCAAGCGTGTAGAGAAAAGTCCTTTCTAGCTGCTGGTGTTTGAGTTTGTGGGAATAGCTTGCCAGTGAGCGTATTTATACTCTTTCTAGCACAGCTAGACTTATGAGTTATCAGCAAACCTCATATTACGCTCAAGGCTCTGATTGGTTGGAGTCTCCATCTCCTTGGAAACAGATGGCACTTCAATTCACTCGCCCTCCCAGTGATTCAGCAAACACACGGAAGCTACAATCACTCCAGCTATGGAAAAATGTGTAATTCCCCCACGTGAAAAAAAAAAAAAAAAAAAGAACACGTAATTCAGCTAGAAGCAGGAGACACGTCTCCCACGTATTGTAGCGTCTTTCCCGCCTCAACCAGCCATAAAAGGTCTCATCTCACATTTTGGTGATTGAAAGAAGCCGTCCTCCTCCTTTCTGCACACGTATGTGAAATAAACACAATGTCTTTGTTATTTTGAAGTGTGGGAAGATTGTGCAGCATCATTTAATCACATTAAGGTTGTTAGGTCATAATAGAAAGGGGGAAGAAATTGGATGTCCTCATTAAAGCAGGTTGATTTCATAAATACAAGTAGGACCCCCCTCCAGTGTTGTTTTGTTAGTAACAAGACATACGTCATGTACCTACAGAGGGGAGGGGACCCCTCACAGAACCTTTGAATGCAGCAGCAAGTACATTTGTGTTCAAAATAATAGCAGTGTGTTGAAAAAAGTGAATAAAGCTCAAAATCCTTCTAATAGCTTTTATTTCCATACACACAAATGTATTGGGAACACTACACATTCTATTACAAATCAAAACATGAAGAAAAATATATCAAATTTGTGTTGTTCCTCTAAATAAATTGAAGAAAAGTGAATATTAGACTGTTCAAAAAAATAGCAGTGTTTGTATTTTTCTTTACAAACTCAAACATTCACTATATAAAATGAAAAATGTTTGAAGATTTTGCTTTCCTTTGAATCACTTAATGAATATTTAGTTGTATAAGCACTGTTTCTGAGAACTGCTGTACATCTGTGTTGCATGGAGTCAACCAACTTCTGGCACCTGTGAACAGGTATTCCAGCCCAGGATGATTGGACTACATTCCACAGTTCTTCTCTATTTCTTGGTTTTGCCTCAGAAACTGCATTTTTGATGTCACCCCACAAGTTTTCTATTGGATTAAGATCTGGGGATTGGGCTGGCCACTCCATAACGTCAATCTTGTTGGTCTGGAACCAAGATGTTGCACGTTTACTGGTGTGTTTGGGGTCGTTGTCTTGTTGGAACACCCATTTCAAGGGCATTTCCTCTTCAGCATAAGGCAGCATGACCTCTTCAAGTATTCTGATGTATTCAAACTGATCCATGATCCCTGGTATGCGATAAATAGGCCCAACACCGTAGTATGAGAAACATCCCCATATCATGATGCTTGCGCAACCATTCTTCACTGTGTTCACAGTGTACTGTGGCTTGAATTCAGTGTTTGGGGGTCGTCTGACAAACTGTCTCCGGCCACTAGACCCAAAAAGAACAATCTTACTTTCATCAGTCCACAAAATGTTGCGCCATTTCTCTTTAGGCCAGTCAATGTGCTCTTTGGCAAATTGTAACCTCTTCAGCACGTCTTTTTTTCAACAGTGGGACTTTGCGGGGGCTTCTTGCAGATAGCTTGGCTTCACATAGGCGTCTTCTAATTGTAACAGTACTCACAGGTAACTTTAGACCTTCTTTGATCTTCCTGGAGCTGATTGTTGGCTGAGTCCTTGCCATTTTGGTTATTCTTCTATCCATTCGAATGGTAGTTTTTCGCTTTCTTCCACGTCTTTCAGGTTTTGGTTGACATTTTAAAGCATTTGCGATCATTTTAGCTGAGCAGCCTATCATTTTCTGCACTTCTTTATATGTTTTCCCGTTTTCCCCTCTCCAATCAACTTTTTAATCAAGGTACGCTGTTCTTCTGAACAATGTCTGGAACTACCCATTTTTCTTAGAATTTCAGGGAGAAATGCACTGTAAGCAGCATGTACAATATTTGCTGCCTTCCTCCCTTAAATAAGGGCAATAATTGCCACCTCTTTTTCAAAGAATGAATGACTTCACTAATAGAACTCCACACTGCTATTATTTTGAACATGCCTCTTTCAGTTAGTGATTCAATTACACAGAATCAGCAGCATGCATGTCATGACTGTTGGGTCTGTTGGATTTCTATTACTATACTACACCTGCTAGTAAATTATTTGCCATGTAAATATCATTTCTACCAAAAAACAATGATTGATCAGGTTAGTGATGTCTGACTGCTATTATTTTGAACACAAATGTATGTCAAAGCTTGTTGGCAGACAATGTGTAGTTCCCACACAATTAGTGTTGCCTAAATAAAAAGACCAATGGAGAAGATTCCAAAGACCTTCTTTGATAGGATTCAGCAGTAAGCTGCAAATCTATTCAGGATATGGGAGTGTCCAACCTGTGTAATAAACTTTTTACAAAATCAGAATGGTGTACCTTGAAAGGTTCACGAAACCCTTCTGAAAGTTATTATTAAAATGAATCTTTACAGGTAAGACACCCACTCTGTGTACCTACCAAGGTTGTGATACTTGTATAAGCTCTGCAGTGGGCAAAGTTCATGATCTACAAATGAGTTGGGGAGGGGAGTTGTAAAGGGTTACTATTAAGTGGCTACTTAATCCTGTATGGAAGGTCCCATGTTCCCACATACTTAGAAGTATGGCGTTTTTCCAAGGACTCAGACAGAGCATTGGGGGAGCACACAATGGTTTGTATCAAAGGGTGGGGGGATGGTTATTAGTAAAATATGCCACTTGTTTCACATGGATCCTCGGTAAAAAGTAAAGAAGTCATTAAACTGCAAGTGATGTCCAACAAGTGCTAGTCAGAAAGTTCACCTAGTAGAAAAGAAAGTAGTAGTGGGTCTAGTTGACTAACTTAGCTTCTCATCCCAAGAGAAGAGTAATGGTATTTTAAACGGCGCTGAAAACCTCCCCTCAGAAAAAAAGCATAAAAACCTTTTCACAAAAAGAGCTATTTTTTATGAGTTTTGAAATGTCAGGTAAGGGCCCTGATGCAAGAAGAAACAGTATGGTCTTCTTCCAATTGATGTGAATACTGGAGTAACTGCCGAAGTGATCAATAAGACTTAATGCCTCCCTAAGAGACGAATTACAGTCCCTCAAAATATAAGAGAGTGTTATCCGCATATAGGGAAATCCTATACTCCCAGTCACCCACTGGTAGGCCATGTAAAGAATCGGAAGAGCGAATTAGGCAGGCTAAGGGCTCAATTGCCAGGGCAAACAAGCTTGGCGAAAGTGGACAGCCCTGCTGAGTGCCCCAATTGAGAGCAAAAGGGGGGGAGAGGATATTGTTAGTATGTACTCTGGCAAATGGCGCACTGTAAAGGCACCTAATCCACGAAATGAAATGAGGGCCAAATCCGAATCGATGCAGTGTTTCCTATAGATACTCCCACTCAACCGAATCAAAGGCCTTCTCGGCATCCAGGGACAGCACCACCCCAGGGTCATCCCTATCGCGAGCCGCAGAAATATGGCTGAGCAGTCTCCGTATGTTAATGTCCGTACCCTTCCGTGGCATAAAACCCATCTGATCATGATGCACCATAGAGATAACCGAACCTAGTCTCTTTTCTTGTGTTTAGAGGTGAAAAGGCATGGGGTGTGAAAGTTGTGAAGTCAGACCCCTGACCTTCTTACCAAACTCGTGACCGAAGGACTAGCCAATCTGAAACCGTGATGTCACGTGCGTAACAATGCCACGCCCAGCTGCACCCTGCACAACAATTTTCCAGCTCACTGGACCTCCAATTGATGTACCGGCAGCCTGAATGCGCTTGTTACTGGGTCAAGTTAATTACGCAATTAACCCTTCACACTGCCACCACCTCCTTTTTGTACAGAGAAAGAGGAAACTTGGCAATATCAGCTATAGCACTATGATGGTTGAGATAATTGTCTGTATAGCACAGTCACTGCAGACAGGTTATACAGAGGGTTAAACAAACACAGTAGCGCTCTTTTAGAGGCAGGAATTCGTAAATTGCATTAAGGAGCTTTAGAAACAGTTCAACACTTTCAGAAAGAAGGATTTATTACTAAAAGGTCAAAAGGGTGCAATAAAAATATTTA